AACAACCCCAAGTTCGAAATACTCAGGGAGTGGTGGAGAGAGAAATTTGAAACTGTAATGGTGCCAGTGCCATTAGAAATGCCTCCCTTGAGGGAGGTGAACCATCGAATCCCACTAAAGGATCCAAACAAGAAATTTTGGGAAAACACCCCGAGATGTCCTGCAGCACTGCAGGAAGCACTAGCAACCAAAATAGATTGCTATGTAAAAGCAGGATGGTGGTATCCTGCAAGCAGTGAGTGAGCATGCCCGCTACTGTGTATCTGCAAAGCAGATGGATCTTTGCACATGGTAATAGATGTGAGGAATCATAACTCAAACACGATCCTTGACATCACACCAATGCCAGACATGCGACTGATCCAAGAATCAGTCACCAGAGCAACATACCGATCTAAGATCGATATGTCAGATGCATATGAACAAATATGCGTGGATCCAGATGACGTCCATAGGATGACATTCTCTACACCCCACAGGACGTACAACTCAAACACAATGCAGCAAGGAGACTGCAACGCTCCCTGTACTTTCCAGCATGCATTGACCTGGGAACTATGAGGAGAAGTAGGCAGACACCTACATGTCTGGTTCGACAATATATTCACCAGCACAAGCTTGGTGGAGAACCACAATAAAGCATTATTGTGGTTGTTCACTTGCCTCAAGGGGGCGAAGTTTTACATAAGCCAGAAAAAATTCCAGCCATTTGCTCCAATCCTAGACATTCTAGGAAGCTGCATGGATGAACAAGGCATCCACGCTCAAATGGATAAAATGGAAAAAATCCGCAACTGGTGAGAGCCAGTAGACCACACAGGAGTCCTAAGATTCCTGGGAATGGTAGAATACCTATTGATATTCATGCTGAATGTCAGTGGCTACACAGGGCCACTGCAAACAATCTGCTCAAACAAGCAGACATTCAGGTGGACACCACTCCACCAGAAATGCTTTGATGAGATCAAACGTCTCGCATGCAGGGCTCTGATCCTGAAGCCTGTCCAGTGGAATCCACCAGAAAGCCTCTCAGAAGAAGAGAGGAGCAAACTCCATGTCTGGGTCATAACAGATGCATGCCCAGTGGGCATGGGTGCACTAATTGGACAAGGCAAAAGTGGCAGACTTGCTGCCTGGCCACATTCATGTCCAAAAAGTTCACCAACACACAACGTAGGTACGTCGCCTATGAGCTCGAGGCACTCATGAGATGGCAAGACGATCTCATGGGAGGCTGTGAATTCACAGTAATCACGGACCACAAAGCTTTGGAATATTTCAAAGCGAAAAACCACAACTCAGGTAGACACCTGAGATGGCAAGCCTTCTTCACAAGCTTTAATTGCGAAATAAAATACATGGAAGGCCACAAGAACAAAGTGGCAGATGCACTTTCATGGTACTACGACTTGTCAACTGATGAGGATCTGCATTTCGATGACTATGTGTCGGTGGATATCCAGCTGGATAAAAATGCAGAAGATATTATGCCCAACAGAATCGAGGAATATGAAGAACTGCTGCTAAGCAGTACTCTGAGTAAAAACTCAGAGAAAAAGAGACTCGCAGCAATATGCGTGAGAAATACCCTAGAGGAAGCTCTAGGGGGGAGTGCCCAAAACCTGGAAGAAATCATAATTCCAGAAGAGAACCTTCGAAAACAACTCAAAGGAAAAGACCTCATTGAGGCAATAAAATCTGGATACTTGCAAAGCCAGATCCACTGGGAAATCCTAGAGAACCCAGGGGATTTCAAAAACTTCTCCATAAAAGATGGGCTGATAACCCAACTTGGAGAAGGAGGAACGACCCAAATAGTAGTCCCAAAAGGAAACTACGAAAGGAAGTCCATTCGAGGAATAATCCTTGAAAACATCCATGAAACACTTGGACACTTAGGATCCAAGAAAACAGTGGAAACCCTCCATCGATACTTCTGGTGGAAGTCAATGAGGAAGGACACCCACAAATTCTGCAGGTCTTGCAGAACTTGTCAAACAACGAAGAAAAGCACCAGGAGAAATCCCGGACTGCTTCACCCACTCCCGACCCTGGAAACACCGTGGTTGTCAATAGCCATGGACTTCACAGGTCCATTCCCAACAAGCTTGGGATATGATTACCTCTGGGTAATCACCTGCAGGTTGACATCCAACGTCCACCTGATTCCAATAAAAACAACAATGAACGCATTAGAACTGTCATATCCGTGCATACCCGACCCCGACCCGACTTCCGGACCTCCACCCTCTTCACCTCCGGAGTCATACCCTACCGCTGCCTGTTCCGATACTCACCTTCGGTCCTGGAAACACACCTCCTTCTACCCCCCACGCCACCTCTACTCCTCCTTCCCTCTCCTCCCCTATCTCTGTCCGCTCTGATACTCACCTCGGACCGAACACCGCCCCTCTCGCCACCCTCCTACTACTTCTCCTCCTCCTACTCCGCTCCTCCTTCACAACACCTCCACCCTCCCATCACCCTCCTACGCTTCCCCCGTCCGCTCCGATACTCACCTTCGGACCTGACAACTCTCCTTTCCACCACTCCTTCTCCCTTACCTTTCTCCTCTCTCCTCCCTCTGGTACTCTTCTGCCGACCTCCCGCCAAGTTACGACCTTCCACCGCTGTCCCATACTTCGTACTCGGACACTGCTCGTACCTTTGCTCCGAGCCTCTGTCATAGTCCCTACCTCGGACTTTGACTCCACCTCAGCCTTAGTCCATTGCATTGGTGACCTCATACTATGTAAACACCATTGCCAATATTCCTCGGACTTTCAACCCCACCTCCATAACCTCTGTAAGCTCTGCAACCTCCAAGCTTCGCAGATCGCCTTCGGCACTTTCGCCGCTTGTAATGTATCTCTCGCGTTTTCCCCTCATCCCTATTTGGACTGCTGCTTCTTCCCATTCTAGCCAGTTAGTCATCATCCCCACTTCTCCTCATCCTCCTGCCCCTCTGGGCCTCACCCTCCCTACCTCCTTTCGGATGTATCACAGGTCCTGCCTTGTGACCTTCGGTACCGCTCCGCTTCTGTCTACCCTTTGTTCCCGTTCGGATGTCTTCGTTCCGATTCGGATCCCCTTTGTTTCCTTGTGCTTTGCCCCTCCATTATATATATCGGCGCTTGTACATACTCGTTTTTGGGCTCAGTCCAAAATCGACCTGAAATGCCCCCTAGAGACTTCCTGCTCGCCTACTGTGAAATTAAGGACCAAATGGACAAACAGCAATGGCACAGTGCTCCGCTTGAGTCGCTGAGGCCAAGGTCCCTCCACGCTAAGTCTCCGATTCCACTCTGGAGTCGTCTGTATCTGCCTGTTTCTACAAGAACTAGCGTTTGTATTCCTTCGTGAAGTTGTAAGACTTCACGGTCTACCACACTCAATCATATCAGATCAAGACTCGAAATTCACATCAAAATTTTGGTGCAAACTACACCAAATACTCGGTGTGCAGTTGAAATTCACAACTGCATTCCACCTGCAAGGCAATGGCCAAGCAGAAAGAATGATACAAAAAGTAGTACAGATACTATGTGCGATGGTCAGACCAGATCAACGTGACTGGGCAGCGAAGCTGTTGATGGCAGAATTTGCGATCAATGCGAGCTCAAACACATCGACAGGATTTGCCCCGTTCGAATTAATCTATGGCCACATGCCAAAGATGTGCCTAACAGCACCACCCTCAGACTACCCGGGAGTAAATGACTTCACCCAAAAGGCAAAGGAAAACCTCATGGCAGCACATGATGCAATAATACACAATCGTGCTGCTCAAACAATCCAGGCAAATAAGAAAAGATGCCCGGACCCACCCTTGAGAAAAGGCGAGCTTGCATACTTATCCATGGATAAGCTGAACCTACCCAAAGGGAGGGCAGGCAAACTAAAGCCCCTGTATATAGGGCCTTATGAAATTCTGGAAACATTTCCAGAGATGTCAAACTACATCCTCAAGTTGCCACCACAACTTGAACAACATGGAATCCACCCAAGATTCCACGTATCCTGGCTCACGCCTCATGAGCCGAATGACCAAGAAATCTTCCCAAATAGGGAAGTAAACATGTTTTATGATTTTGGGGAAGACCCCAATCGCAAAGCAGTAGTTCACAAAATCTTAAACCACGCATGGGTTCATGATGAACTCTGGTTTAAGGTTAAATGGGAGCTAGGGGACACCACATGGGAATGTCAGGGACTCGTCCAGGGTCAAGGGGGCCCAGGTGTAGCGTCCGGGGCTGAGAGCCTGGCAGGGGGTGGATTGGGCATGTGTACTGACAGGCCTGATGTGGGACAGTGGTCCCTGGCCACTTAGACTGAAGTGGAAAGTTGAGAAGAAGGCTACTTCTTCAGTTCCCACTTCAGGTTCATTTATATACATGCGGCTTAGATCACATGACAGGTGCCATGTCACCCTTGCACACAGCCGTAACCACCCAGGTGTCTCTGTAGGAGATCCTGAGGGCATCCAGTGCAGGCACGTGTACTGGGTGCAGCGGGAAGTCGCCTGAGGTGCCTGCGCCGGTGCGCTGCAGATGGGTCAATGGTACATTGATACAAAGAAGGTTGTCCATGTAGAATAAAGAGAAAATAAAGAAGAAGTAAGATAGGAAGAAGTGAGGAAGGAAGGATGAGGAGAGAGGAAGGGAAAGGGGGAGGAGGTAAGGAGGGGTGGACAGTGGGGTACCGGGTCAGGTTGGGCCAGGTGGAGCCAGGTCAGGCAGGTGTGCCCTGACAGACATGCATTGCGATACACAACTGGAATCCACATATCTCTATGAATACCACACCAATTCTCCTTGCATAACATGCGTTGGAATTGCCTCGATGCCCTGTACCATCCATACTATAACCTCATCACCTAATTCCTAGCCAACTTTCCACTGTAGGATTTTCTAACATTTTATCCTGCATGTGAGACCTGATATATCACCTGTTCTGGGGTGTCTGTGACCACCACCCCTACAACATCCAGCTCCAAAAGTAGTTAGGTCTATCGATGCTGGAGCCAATGTACAACTGTCAAATCCGCTTTTCAAATCAAATATGCCATAAATTGCTGCTCTGGCAAATGAATCTAGCATCTTGCCAATATTAAGTGGCTGAAGATCATGTACTATTCATAAGGATTTATCTTTCTTTTCTGTTGGAATTTGTACATGTGGTCTCAGGAACCTTAATGCATAAAATATGGACATTCTGGGAGTCAAACTGCAGAGCCCTGCATAGGTACCTAGAGTGTGTTACCATTACACTAAATGCCTGCATTAGGTGGAGGTGGTTTCTAACATTTTCAACAGCAAAGAACCCCACCCTATAGGACGATTGAGATGGCTCATATTTTCCTGCATCCATTTGTTCTTTGAGCATGTACATAATTTCTTTGGTACACACCTGGGGCAATCTCAGGGGCTTTACTTGCCACAGCTCATGTGGTATTGTTTGCATAATATAATCAGGGTAATATCTGTGATTGAAGGTGCCCCACCTAGCATCTGTAAATGCAATAGCTTTCTCATACTTGAAGAGAATGTGGACTAAGAGGTCCACTTCAACCTTCACAAGGAAATTGTCATATCCATCCCCAGCCATCGACTTCCAGTTCCTCCGATCCCTCCAGTCTAACTCCGCTCCTCCCTCACTAACTGCGGAGCCCCCGTATTCCGCAATCCTCTCGGTACCCCTCGATGGTCACCACCCCCTCATTTCAATTTATTACCTACGCCTCCCTAAGTACGGAGCCCCGAAGACTTCCGGACAGCTCCGATGTCTGCTAGCACACCCCCGCCTCTGCTGGGCAATACACTCGCCTGCCCTGCAGAGCCCACCTTCGGACCTATCCCTCCTTTCCGTTTCTGGGTTATCGCCTGCCTTTCCGCTAACCCTGCGAACCGACTCGTCGGTAATATTCAGTCGGCTAATGTCTAAACCCCGTGAGCTCCGCTCCGTTCGGCTCCGCCAATTGTGGAACCGTCTCCGCTGTAACCATATATATATCCCACTTGTACATAGGTTACACCCCAGTAGTAAAATCAACTAGAGTTACCCCCCCTTCGGTTCTGATTGCCAGTCAGTAAGTTAGGGCACAGACGTGTCACTAGGCACAGCGCTCTTGGCAGAAGTCGCTGAGGCCAAAGCCCTCCGCTACGGAGACACTCCCTCATCTCGAATCTGGTCTCTGACAGAAATCAGGAGTTATGCATGCCACTATCGCCACTACCCTTTCTTTCATGAGTTTGGGGTAAATTTATTTTCCACAAATTCTGGTGGGTGTAGGCAATGGTGAAAGTATGCCTATCTCAAGGAGTGTGTATGTAGGCACAATTGCCTCTGGGTCATAAGCTGAGACTGGGAGAATCTTCTTGCTAATGGGCTTGTAACAAGTGCCCAGGACTTCTCTCATAAAATGCTTAGACAAATCTTTTGCCATAGTGACTTGGAGTCCCTTGGAAAGACCGATGGCTTCAATTTGGTCACTTAGGCTATGTTATAGAGTGCATAATTGTCTGGAAGTGGAGAAGGGACTCAGGAAAGGAGGGACCTTGGCCTCAGCAACTCAGGTGGAGCACTGTGCTGTTGCTTTGTTGTCTAAGGTGGTCCTTAACTTCAGGTTAGCAGGGGGAGTCTCTTGGGGGGACAATCCAGTCGATTCTGGTTCTCTAGTCGTTGATTTCAGAACTAGGGGTACAGGAAACTATGTACAGAGTGTATATATAATAATACAGGAGTGGAGTCAGAGGACAAAGGGAACTGGAAGGAGACAAAGGGGGACTGGATGAGGGAACAACCCCAAGGGTCAAGGATTGGGACTCTATGGTGCTTCCCAAAAGAGCAAGGCCAAGAGGGGAAGGGGTGGAGTGGGTTGTGGAGAATGACAGCTGACTAATGTGGAAAGGAAGCAGCCATCTAAATAAGGAAGAGGCAACAAGAGGATTAAATGACACCATACAGTAGAGACTGCAGGGTCCGGAGTAAGTTCCAGAGGTCCGGAGTCAGAAGTCAAAGTCTGGAATATTGGCTAGACATAATAAATGAAATGCAATAAGGAATAATACAAGGAGATAAGATGGAGGAGGAGGTCAAAGTCTGGAGGCAGAGATGTGACTGGAGTTCTGGAGGTGGAGGTGCGATGGGGTTCTGGTACAGGAGTCCGGAGCTGGAGGTGTGGAGCATCACAAGCTCTGGTCTGGAAGGTATGGGGTTGGGATCGGACCTGGAGTAAACCAGAGTCGGACCAGAGGTAGTGTTGGACGTTGTGTTGGAGCCAGAGGTAGAGTGGGCTCTCAACAACCAACAGGGGGAGGTGGTGGTGGTGGATGTGGAGTTCTGGAGGAGGAGATGGAGGTCCAGAATCAGGAGTGGAGGTCCGGAGTTGTACGGATATGACAGGCTAGCCTCATTCAGGGATTTAGAGATGAACTGTCACGACTGACAAATCCCGGGGCTCCGTCAGCGGCAAATCAATGCCGACAGGCGATTCCGCCGACCCGAACCCATCCTTACCAGCCCCAACCCGATGTCTGTTCTATCGACCATGCACCGCTTCCACACCTTCCGCAACCTCTGTCCATTTCTGGTTGTCCTTGACACCTCTGGTCAGGTCAACACTCCCCTCCATATCTTGCTGGCCATCATGCTGTCCTTTTGTGACAGCACTGACAGACCACCCTCTGTCGCGGACTCATCAGCACCATGCTGATTCCCGCGTCCCTTTGTGGACTTGTGTCGGCATTGCACTGACCCCGCATCCTGATTTGCGGACTTGTATCGGTGCCGTGCACTGACCTCCACTTTTCCTCTGGCCATTTGTCACTTGGCAGCTTATCATTCATTCCTTGCCGAGTGCCATTTATTGTTTGCTTCCCTGCCAATATCGGCATTTGATCCCCTCTTTATTGGCACTAGGTTATTGATCTCATTCAGTTATTCATCAATAACCCTTGCCACTTATTGTTTATTGATCTGTTCCTTGTTTCCAGTTCCCGGGCTCTTGTCCTTATTAGTTTGACAATCCCCACTTATCTCCATGCCGGACCGCGCCTTTCTATATTCCCTCTTGCCTATTTATATACCTTGTAAATACTTTTGGGGACCTCAGTCTGAAATCAACTAGAGTACCCCCCCTGTCTGGTCTGAGTCTCTCCTTCTGCAAAGGGGGCTTCCCCCCTCTGAGTCCGTGCTTGCGGAGTCTGCGCTCCTCCTACAGGTCCGCTCCGCCTGCAAGTCTTGTTTGAAGTCTGCTGTAAGTGTCAGTTTGTAAATACAGGATCTCCCCCAAACGTCAAGCTCAGGGCACAGCGCTCCACCTGAGTTGCTGAGGCCGCGATCCCACTCTGCTAACCTTGAACAGCGCTTCCGGACGCGCCGCATATTTCTGCCTGCATATCTGCATGCGCGCTGAAGGAGCGGAGCTGGATCACCTTATGTAACCAGTTTCCTACATCCAATAACGATGTTAGAGTTTGTGCTGATTTGCGTACTGACCATGTTTTGGTTGCCAAATATATGATTGTTCACTGTCTAAACAACAATAAACACCCCCCAACGATCTCACCTGACGTATAGATCGTCTATGGATAAAATTCTATATTGACTTTACTATGATTTCTAGTCAATATTACACCTATATTTACCACTTTTCAGTAGGATGTGATTTTCCTGATAATTTACTGAAGGAAAACTGCTAATAGAATAATTCCGCAATAAATGTTACTCAATACAGGAGTGACCAAACTGCTCTTTCTATCGCTTAGAGTGCGTGCTAGTTATCTAGCAGGTTCAGGATCGCTCACTTTTCTCCTGTGGTGTGATAACCAAAAATTGCTGAGAGATTATTCAATTAAGAAGTCCCTCCACCAAATTCTCACTAATTCTCACTATGACACTTTTGTTCAGCTGTGTCTAACTGACCCTAACTCACGCTTAGAGTGACGTGCTAGTTTTATATTAGCTAACAACTAATATTTGCATCTTTTGGAGCAAACGAACCAACCACTGGTGAGGAGAATTAAACCTTTATTTCTACCTGAGGTTTGAGAGGGGGCAGAAGCGGCGGCCTTTTATGCTTTTCAGAGGCCTCTCTACTCCCACGCCTCGCACTAGTTACATGTGCTACATTTGTATTATAGATAGTTCTAGAATGATATAGGGGCTTGGGCTGTGTAAGCTTAATAATGGACTTAGGACATGACTCAGCAATAAGTAATTCATTTCTTTGTCTTTTGGGCCGATCTCAGCGGGATCTTGTAGCGCTGAAGCTATGCTCTACACCGCCTTAATTACGAACGGTTATCTTTAGAAATGACTCGGCTATAAAGGAACTTTCTAGGCTGTTCTCTAATTGACCCCTTTTTGTGAAGCCACATCATTACTAATGTTCTAGAGCCTTCCCAATTAATTAACTGATCCGCGGACTTCTGAATCACTTTATGCTTATGATCCGAGATCCAGATCATCAATCATTCCTTTGTTCCGATTTATTTGAGCTTGAAATCAAAAAGTTTTGATGAATCATGGGAAAATATACAAGATCCGGTTTTTTAGCATTTTCTCCTCTTCTGATGCGATCAAAAACTGTCCGCCCGCGCCGGGGAATACTCTATCATATGGTATTCGGTCCGCCAGACTTCCGGGCGCCAATATATTTCCCTTGAGTCACATTACTTTTTGTAAGAATTAGCAAATAAATATATATGAATTATAAGGTGTTTCGCCGTTTGAGCGATATCTCCGTCAGTTTTGAAGCTTTTAGAATGAAACAAAACCGTGGATAAAGTTAAGAAACAGTCCTTTCAGATGGTAAAAAGATTACAGTCAAAAGTTTACTGGTTCCCGAGATATTCACATTTCTTTCCCAATGTTCCCTCTTATTCTGCCGTCTATGTGCTATTTTCTTGTTGTAGGGTTATATTCTTTGAATATTACACCTATGCCAAGTTCTAGGCATGATTGTAGTAGATTAAATCTCATGCTACATGGGTGTAGATAATTTATAATGATCTTCTAATGTCTGTCCAGTCTCATAAAGATCATGAGATCTGTTAAACATCTGAACTTGTCACCTGTTTGTTGACTATTCTGATAGATCATTGTTTTATTCTTTGAATATTATTTCTCCTACAGCGTGTGATTGCTTGACAGGTCAAAACAGTGCCCCAGCTCGTGAGGACGACGTGATTAAGACTTGTTGGGTTATCCACTAAGGATTCTCGCTGAGACGCCTGGTGCGTCATCCTAGTGGAACGCGCTGACATCGGTAGATGGGCTACTGGCAAACAACATAGCCCATGCAGGTATGCTGGCTCAGGGAGTTGACAAGCGGGGATTGCGGGGAGGTCCAACCAGTTGTATGAGGATGTCGACTCATCTGCATGGTGCAATGTACTAGCGGGACGAGTCTTAATCAGTGTGTGTGCTGATACCGAGTGGTGCAACCACTGCCAGTGCGCTGCCTCGAGAAGGGAGTGCATAGAAACAGTCAATAGGCCTACAAGAGTAGATGAAGGGGTCGGCTTGACCGCTTGGCATGATGAACGGATGTGATTCGTCACGATTGGTCGACTGGTCAGGGCTGA